ATATAAAAATTACAAATTACAAGGTCCAAGCGTGCTGGACCGGCTTTTTATATTTATACATCTTATAAAACTGTTTCCTCTCTTTTTTTTCTCTCTTACGGCAAGGAACAAACGAATATCTATATTTTCCTTGTAAAATCGTCGGGATTCGCTTGGTGTTCTTGAATGTCGGCAGACGATTTAAATCGTATGTATATTAAAGGAGTTCAATTCGAGAAAGGAATGGGAAATTGACAAATATATCGTCTACGCGTCGATATTAAGATTCTTCTTTTTTTTTCATCATTTTCTAATACATTCCTTCGTTTTCGTTTTTTCTTCTCTCCTTGTTCATCAAGTCGAGAACGAACACTCGCGTCTCGTTTATTTATTTATTTTTTTTCGATTTTCTTCTAAGGCTCTCTGCTCTCTACTTCGTTCTCATTCGCCTAAAAAGATCGATCGTATCGGTAAGATCGATCAAGGAAGACCGCGGCTCTTTAGCTTTCGTTCTTTCTTTCTTCTTCATTTTTTCTTTCTTTCTATCTTTTTGTACAATCGCGTTTCGGAAACCGGGTAAATGAAGGGGGATGAGGAGACTAGAAATCCGCGGCGCGCGTTGCGAAGACGCAACGGGAAACCCGTCCGAACGCGAATCTCTTCGCGACAGCGCCGTCCGTTTATTTTATTTTCCCATTACTTTCATCATCGTTGCTCTGCCTCCGTTTTTGTCCTTTCTATTCGTCCATTCTTCGCGCGGCCCTCAAAGTCTTACGAAACGTTAGATCGTAGACAAAATCATAGATAAACCCGTGTGATGATCCGTGATCGCGCGTCGAATGAAATTTCTTCGTTGAAAATATATGTTACATATAAAAAAATAATATTATTTTATACTAGGAAATCCGTTTCGAAAGATCATTTTTTCGATGGCCGAATAACATGAACGAGAAAAGGGAAGCGACGCACGCGTCAGAGGGGGGAGGGGGGGAATGTTGAATGAGCGACCGTTCCCGCGCGAAACGGTTCCCATGACCTCTAGGAATATGTTAATTTTTTTCGGTTTCTCGACTTGGTCCACGAAGAACTGATTCCCCGTAGCCGAAAAAGAAGAAAATGATCGTGGACATCTCTTTCGATCTCTTCCCTTTATGCTTCAGAGTCCGCTGTTACAGCATAAACTCGTTAATTTCTTTTCTTTTTAATTATCCTTAACTTATGCTTCACCTTTTCTTTATTCCTTCGACATAGGAATCGTTCAATTTTTACGAACGAACTAACCCTAAGCGTGTCCGATCAACTTTCGCTCGATCTTCCTCACAGCGAGGGTGGTCTCAAAGACACGTACGCGTTCCCTGACAATTAAAAGAATTTGACTCCTCTCAGAGGATACCCGTGAACCAGCTCGGATTTCCGCCAAATGCGAAGCAGCGCTCTACAGTCAGAAGAAAGGAACGGGAAACGAACGTGGGGGGAAGGGAAACGACAAGAGAAACGGGAACCGGAAACGTCGGATTGAAGTGGGGTGCAACGCGCGTTTCGTAATCTCGCGAGAGACTATTCGACGGAATAAATAAATCGGTCATACGAGTGTTTGTCGCCCATAAAGGCAAGTAAACGATTTTTACTTGACCCTCGCGTGGCGATTAAGGTGAAACCGAACACGTATCGG